GGGGAGCCGCCGGGCCCAGGCGGCGGCGGCGGCGGCGGCGGCGGCGGCGGCGGCGAGCCGAGGGGGGCGCGGGCGGCGGGGCTGGAAGAGCGAGGAGGAGGAGGAGGCGGCGGCGGCGGCGAGGCAGGCGGGCAGGCAGGCAGGGGGAGGCGGCGGCGGCGGCGGCGGCGGAGGCTGCGCCAGGCGAGCCGCTCTCGCCTCGCAACAAAGTTGCGGCGCGCGCGGATCCCGGCGCCCCCCGGCGCCCCCTTTTCCGCCTCACGCCTCGGCTCCAACCCGGGGCGGGGCGCTGCTTTGCCCCGGGGCGGGAGGGAGTAAAGCGGGGGGGGGAGAGGAGGAGGAGGGGGGAGGGTTCGCCGAGGAGGAGTGAGGAGCCGCCGCCGCCGTTTCGTCTCATCGCTGCTCTGGATTTATGATTTTTCCCTCCCTCCAAGCCTGGATTCGACCTCCTGGATCTGCCTGCGCGTCCCTGATTTTTTTCTGCGTGCGATTTTTGCTGTTTGCCCCCCGGTGTACACATTCCCACCCTCCCCCGGAGGTGGAGGGGGTGGTCGCGGTGGTGGTAGCCGAAGAGGCAGCTTGGCTCTGCTGCTTCTCTCTCTCCGGATCCGAACTGGAGATTAATTGCAGTGTGGTGGTTTGTGTCTTTAAAAAAACCCCCCCAATTAATTTGGGTGCCTTTTTTTTGGAAAGGGAGGGGGAAGATTCGTCAAGGTCACTTCGTGGATTTACATTTCCCCCCTCTTCTGGATCTCTTCCCCACCCCTTTCTTTCTTCTGCCCTCCATCGGATCACCCCTTTCTCTCCATAGAGGTCTGTTGGATTATATTTCTCTGCTTCCCCCCGCCCCCCTTCCCTTTGGATTTGATCAGCCCGAAGAAAGGAGCCCTTTAAAAAGAGAGAGAGAAAGAGAAGCTGGATTAGTAGGGTGCTTTTGTATTTTTTTAAATCGCGCTGATCTTCTGAAATAAAATTTTGGGATATTATTATTATTTTGGAAATGGATGGGAAAATCAAACAGAGCAGGAAATCTAGGTCCCAAAGGGACCGTGTGAGGCGAAGGGATCCAAATGGCCGAGACCGCCCGAATCAAAGCCCTTCTTCGGCATCCGAGAGGGAACTGAGTCCGGGTAAGGAGAACACGAGCCAAAACTGCCCAAATCCTAAGAGCCAGACATCTGCAGCCAGAAACGTCAGACCTCCGAGGCGGAGAAGGCGAGAATCCAGCTCCCAAGAAGAGGATTTAATTGATGGATTTGCAATCGCCAGCTTCAGTACCATGGAAGCCTTGGAGGTAAGAGATCAGAAAGGGCTTGCTCGCTTTCATGGGCTCAGAAGATCTTCCGGGCAGGTGGCGGGTGGAGAGCCCAGCTTGGGGCGTATTTCGGGTGTTGCCCAGTCCAGGTCCTCCCCTGCTCGTGTCAATATCTATTAACTTCTTGTTGCACGTCTGCAGCGGGCATTCCGCCTGGAGGAATGAAAGCGGAGGTGCTGGGCGTGTGGCTTGGGTGTGCTTGCATGGTCCAAAGTGTGGGAAGCACCCGGCAACGTCTCGGGTGTACTGGCTGGATCTGCTTTTTCTAAGTTCTTGTAGGCCACAGTGAGAGAGGGAACCCTGGCTTTTCCAGTTCAGCTGACCGTCCAAGGCTGCTGATGGTCTCGAATTTGTGTAGGATTTCAGTGGCTTTGGAAGCCTGCAGGGAAAAGTATGAAAAGTTCTGGCTTGCTTTGGGAGCTGTCATCTTTTGGTATGATATATCGTGAAAGGGCTTGCATGAAGGAGAGAAATGATGTGAATGGTGTGCGCAGTTGTCAGTGTAATTGGTAAAGCAGAAATGTTTCTTTTCTGTTTGGTTTTGTATCGCCAAAATGTTACTTTTGTATCTGGAGATGGAAGCAAAGTGGCTTATGTTGGATGCCAGGTGGGTGGGAGAGAAGGACCAGTGTTTGTAGAGAAGTGTTTGCAGAGAGAAAGCCTTGTGGTTTGAGTTCCTTTTAAATCTGATTTGCAGTAATTAAAGGACTTCTACTCTTTGGGTGATATTTCCTTGGTGCAAATAAGTGAGCGAAAAAGGTATCGTCTGCCACTGAACATTGCTGTGGAAATACGGCTTGTGTTGTCTGAGTGTAGAAGTCAAGCAGAGCAGGAAATTTAATATTTTTGAAGGGACTATGACAAGCTTTGGAGATTTTGTGTGGCTTTTGGTTTTTGTCCATGATGTGATGGGAAAGTCTGAGCTGATAAGAGACTTTCTGGTAAGTGTTCTATCCTGTTGAATTTCTTAGTCATTTTGTCCATTCTAATGTGCTGATTAAAAATAAAGCAAAACGTTGCGTGGCCTGGGTACTCGCTTTGGTTGCACATGTATAATGCACAGAAGTGAAGAAGTAGTACTGAAGTCGGTTGGTTGGTCTGTTCAGAGCCTGTGCTTGACCCAGCGGTGAGAGTTAAAAGTTTTGCCCCAGACTTTTTCAAGAAAGCAATCTGAATGCATGGGCCATGGGATTCCTCTATGAGATTCCTATTTTCTTTAGAAAATGAAGTGTGTGTGTTATAACAAGCTCTGAGCTTAACCTAAAACATTTGTACCTATCCTGAGAGGTGGCCAGCCATTTGGAGCCTTTTGTTTTCCTATTTCTTAGCTCAAGAAGGTTTGTGCATGAAATTCCAGATTGTTGGACCTTCTGTGGAAGGAGGAGGAAAGCTATATTGTATGCACGTGGCAGGCCAGGAAACACCCCCCTCCCCCCAGGAAAAAGAAAGAAAATTGTTTCAGTTGTAAATCAGATGGTGAGGACCTGACCCCTGGAGAAAACTTTTGTCCTGTTGATGGTTGGTCCCCGACTGAATGCCTTGTGTTGTTTGCTTTTGGCTGTCTGTTGAAGCTCTCCCAGCTTCTGGGCATTGCTATACATCTGTCTGGCAGCAGAGCTGTGAGGGCTGGTTGAACCAAAGACCCTTTGGGGGTGTCACTGAGGAATGTGCAAGACAGTTATCTTGTGTATCAGGGGTGGATAATTTGTCTTGCCTGGTACCTCATTAAAAACTGCTTTGCTGTTTTCAGCAATGGTCAATATCCTTTCTTGAGTTTCCTGTCTCCAGCAAAGGCTGCCTTGGATGCTTCAGAAGAGAAAAGTACAGCTGCGAGAAGCAGTAATGGAGAATACAATTTCTGCACATTGATCACCAATAAGGGCATCTGGGTGGTTGTTGGAGGGGGCAGAAGCAGCCAGGGGAAGCTTCCCTGCTCTGATCTCTTGACTGCTTCCTGGAGATGGAAGGGAGCCAAACTGTGGAGTGGGCTCTTCCTATGGAGGTTCATGCTGTAGCCAAGGAATATGTAAATAGCTTCTCCTTGAAGTCAATGCCATTTTGTTGTGTGTGGGGTTTCTAGTGGGCCATTAAAAGAGCACGGAAAGACCCTCATCTTTGTCTGTGGAGGGCTGGCATCCTCTCCAGCAAGGGAAAGCTCTGATGGGTGTGTGTTCTTGAAAAAGTGCCTGTGTTTTCCCTCCTGAATGCCTGGTACCTGTGTAGTGAGGCCAGTACCATGTCAGCCTTGCTAGCAGGGATATTCTGAGGTCAAAATCCTACATAACCTGATGTATTCCTCTCAGACATGGTCCAATACATGCTTCTATTTTTTCTAGATGGCAGACAGTTGCGGGGGGGGGGGGCGATTCTCTGAGTTTGATGGGCTGCCCTGCCTTCCCTTGGATTCCAGTTCTTGCTGCCCCGAATATGCCCGTGTGCTCTGTTTCCTGGATTGCGAGTGAGCATCTCTGTGTACACCCTACCTGTAACACCAGATGTTACACCAGAGGGTTCCCAGGAGATGCCCCATTCATGGCAAATTCACATGCTCTTAGTTTCAGCAAGGTGGATGCCTCTTATGGTTTCAGAATAGGCCTCGGGAGCGCGTGACATTTTGGGGTGGCTCTCTTCTGTTCTCTGGCTTACAGGGAGGATTGGCATAAATTTGAGAATGGTGTAGAGCATATAAACTGTCTTCATTTAATATCCATCCAGTCTACTGGGTCGTGTGAATCTCGAGTACCCTATATCGATAGGGTTTTCAGTGTCGCCCCACACACACACACACACAATCCATTTGCGTCTCAGGTGGAAGGGAGATGTTGCAGAAGTGATCTTTCAGGGCTGGCCTTTGTGCAGCCCTGTGAACAACGAGCATTAATTTCTTCACTATTCACGTTATTGATCCAAAGTGTTCTCTCTGTGTCCAGAGTGCATTGTGTCTGGGAGAGGTGGCTGGGGCTATCCCACTGTGTAAATGCTGGAGCGCTGAGGCTGAGGTGACAGCTTGCTGAAGGGGGACCCCAGTGAGTTCAAAGGCTGTCCAATTTGTATCAGGCATTTATTTCAATCCTTCATTCACTGTGTGATGTGCAGTGATTTCAGGAGAGCTCTTATGGCCCTCTAGCACCTGTATTCTGCAGAACCTACCTGAAAGGGTTGTCACCAACCTAAAGGCATAAAGGCAAAGGGATCATATTTGATGATTTTGGAGAAAAGAGTGGGATGGAAGTGTAAGCAATATGTAATGTGTGACAGGCTTTCTTATGTAGCCATAGTCACCGCATGTGCAAGAGCGTGCACACGTTTCCCTGAATCATGGATTGGAGGATTGCTAGTAGTGCAGAAGTATACTCTGTGGAGTAAAGTAGTCAGGTGCCAAGCGGTCATCACACCGAGCAATAGTTGCCTCTGTGCATAAGTGTGTGCGTGTGCACATGCGCACAGATGGGGAGAGGAAATTGCTGCCTGCGGAGCCCCTCTATCAATATTCCAGAGAGCACCTTCACTTTCAGTGTCTTAGGCTTTAATTGGCTCATCAGAATAAATAGGGTAAGCAAAATCCACTCGTATCCTTTCATGTGTCAAATGAGGAGGGTATGTAGTACTTGAGGTGCTTTTAGAAGCCAAAGTGGCAAATGCATGTTTGTGTAGATGTGGTTTTTTTAAAAAAATTCCAGTAACAAAGCGAGACCAGGAAATGACAGACATATCTGTGGGGTTTTCCTTACCAAGCGGTGATTGCCTGCTTCTGAGTGTGGGAATTGCCAGGCAGGTGTCGGTTGCTACCATCAGTAAAGGGGATTACCAAAACCAGAATCTCCTAAATTAATATGTGCCATATGTTGCAGCTGAGAATTAAAAAAAAAACCTTGTAAAATAAGGTGGGTCTCACTGACAAAATACGTAAACATTCTTCTCTACTGTGTTCTGTCAGAGCAGTTGGGGACCTGGGCTTGTCTTCACTCAGCCGTGAAATTTGGGCCGGTTTCTGGTCTGGTGTGCATGACATGAGGTGTAATTTCAGTGGAGGCTGTTTCTTTGTATGGCGACACATGTTTTTGCCTAGTGTTTGCAGTGGCTACTTCACTGGGGCTTGTTGTGTCATGTGAACCCAGGTGCCAGGGGTTGTTGGAGGGACAGACACAACACTGGATAACCCTCGAACAAGCCGTGGTCATTTGTGGGTGTACTGAGTATTGGACAACTCCTGCCTGAGTTGGCACGATGTGGGAAGCTGGGGGCTTGCAGGCACCATGCAAGAATGGCTTCTTGCATTCTTACTAAAACATGTGTGGAATCAGCTAGAAATACTGGGGACCAGTTCTGCCCAGCGTTCTTGTCCGTGCCAGTTTGCTTTGGAGGCTAAGCTCTTGAAAAGGAGAAAGCTTTGTGCAGTTCGTATTTTCCCCGGTCTCGATGCTGGTCTGTATCATCACAAAATCTTGGTTTTATAAGAACCGGTGATTAGAAAAATGTGATAGCTCTGCTGTAGATTCTCCTCTGGGATTTCTAAATTGTTTGCGGTATGTGTATGGTGCAAGGGATCTTTGTGGCAATGAAGTTTAAAAGATTATCTGTTTTATCTGCTGGAAATTCCCCCTCCTTCAAAGCTACTGCTGGAACTTTAATGTTTCTTTAAGAAGGAAGTTCTCTCATGTACTTTCGCACAGCGTTTATTGCAGCAAATTCGAGAAATTCAGAGACCATTAATTTTCTCAATCTCAGAGGCATGAGAGCAGATTATGAATATGCAGTTCTTGCTGAAAAGGTCCCCTGAATTTGGTCCTGTTGCATTTTTGACCCAATAGTTAAGAATGGCACTCGGAACTCAATAATACAGTATTGATTTCCTACAGAACAGCATCAATAGTTCCATTCTAAGATAGCAATTTTATAGCATGTGTTCTGTATAATAGGGTAAGATCCTGGTAATTGACCGTGCATATGGCTAGATACCTGTGTCACATTCTTGTAAC